ATCCTGATAGCCCTCGTAAATGGAGTAATTCTTGACCACCCGAGCTACGGTCTTCCATGGATTAGTAGATGGCGCCAAACAAACAAGTGATGATCTTAAATCTTCACCCACTCCTCCATCCCGAGCACTTATTGGTTCGAAATATTTTGCCATCATGACTCTTAACTTATTCCTGGCATGAAATTCAAAATCGTCTGGTATAATAAAATCAATTTCAGTAACAGGAGTTAAAAAATAGGAGTCAGGAAAGTATTGATTAAGGAGTGGAGAAGATGTCACCGCATTTGGAGATCGTTCACTGGATTCATTCACTTGGACTGGTTGATATTGGGGGCTCATTTTCTGCACATTAACTTCCTTTTCAACTGCATCTTTAGATTCGTCTCTTTGAAGCTCTTGCAGTTCCATATCATTTGACCGGATAATTGCACTCTCATCTTCCTCAAGGCTAATGTTGGTTTGTGAGGGCAATTCTTCAAGGTGAGAAGCTAATCGCTCTGACATAGATGATGATTCTTGAGACTCATACTGCTGAAAATTCATTGGCCCCGTTGGATAATTATAATTGGAGTTATCCCACCCTCCTTGATCATACCCGTATGGATTAGGGTTATACCACATTTGAGACCAGGGTGAAAAATCTCCATAATTATTGATTGGGACATCCAGATTATCTTGATATTCGGGGCACATACCGGTTGAATGATCCCTGGCATAACAAATTTTACAGGTTGCAGCAGCCATTCTTTTTTTAATAGAGTTTATTGCCTCTAAGTATGCAAACTTAGAAAAACAATCAATTTCATTGCCTTCCCCGAAAACAAAATCCAGTATATCACCAAAATACGGAGTGTTAGAAGCCATAAACTATATAATAAAAAAATGATAAGAGAAAAATAAATAAATAAAAATAAAAACAAGATGAACTCAAAAAGAAACAAATTAATCTGGCACCAGTCCCCGGCAACGGCGCCAAAAATTGACAGGTGCCGAACCTGTGCAATAATAATAAATAAAACCTAACTACCACTTAAAACAGTCAATAATCAATTCGAGTACTGGAGCAGGGACTCTAGGTGTGCAATGGGTTACTTGATTCACCCTGTTCCCGAAGAGTTTGTTTAATCCGATATACCTGAATAAATTATTTAACTGAATTCCCTAACTAGTAGACAGTGGTAAGCAGGGTCGTCTCCTCAGGGACTAGCAAGATATTTTGTTTCTTTTCAAATCAAGATTAATGGGGGGTTTTGGTGTCAAATGCCAACTAAACAAACTAAATGCAGAAAATAATTAATTAAAAGGAATAACTAAGAGAAACTCTAGCCAAGGGTACACTTCAGAAATGGTTCATGCAACTGATCATCGATTCACAGATAATTCCAACAAATATTAATAGATTGGTTATAGTTGTCTCGCACGCGCTGAACAACCAACCCTTCCTTAATTTATCGATAGCTAAGGTACGACCGTTAGCTATTTCTCTAACCCAAAAACAACCCTAGGTACGACCGTAGGATTTAATTTCTAGATTGCATTAATAATTAGAAAGGCCCAATCCTAACTAACAAACACGCTACGAGGGTTTGTTTAAATTAGATCGTATGCTCCCCTGACATAAACCCAATTACGCCAGTTGCTACTAAGATAGAGATAACGAACAATTACGGATTCAATTACCTCTATTTAGCAAAATAGCCTACGTGAATAATTAAATATTGCGCATCTATTCAATCACTCACACGAGCTATAGCAATTAAAAACAGGAAACATATAAATACCAATAAATGAAGGAAACAATTAAAAGCGGTTTAGATCTCACAGTAATTGCCGAACCAATTCGTCAGTTGTCCCATTGACTAGAAGTAGGAGGTTAGTCCTCCATTAATGGAGAACAACCGTGCAAATAATTGTTCCAAGCTTTTTTCATTGTTTTTTTTCTCCAAAAATCGGTAAAAAGGAAATAATACAAAGACCAGCCGTCCTTTTTTCTTCTCCTGATTGCTTTTTAAAGCATCCCCAAAGCCAAACGAAAATACATCCAAGCCAAGTAGCAATCCCGCGGAATCCGGCTTTCTTTCCTCTTCTCGTTTGTTTTGTTTCCTATTCAGCTTCTACTACTCATTGTTCCTTTCCAAACGTGAAAGAAGGAATACAAATAGACTAGCCTCTTTTTTCCTTTTGGTAGCCACGAAATTGAAGGAATTGATTTTCCTAATTTTTAGCTTTTTGAAACCAAATAGACTTCCTCCCAATCTTCCGTTAATAATCCACGTAGACTCCCTTTTGAATTAGAAAACTCTTGAAAAATCACATCTTTTATCTCTTTTTGCTCCACCTTCCTACAATTTGTACCAAATACCAAATATAAGTAGAATCAATCAATTAAAATAATATTTGGTTAAAATCAAGGGAAGAATAATTATAAATTTAACAACAAATCATGACTTATCAGGAAACTTTATGAAGTACACCATATCTCCTGAACAAAGCAGCAATTGTTTTGTTGCAAAAATGCGTCCCCCTATCACTCACAACTGCCCGTGGCATTCCAAATCGCACAAAAATGTTAGACTTTATGAAATCTGCAACCACCTTAGAATCATTAGTGCGGGTGGCTTTTGCTTCCACCCACTTCGAGACATAATCCACTGCTAGTAAAATGTATAAAAATTCACAAGAATTTGGGAAGGGACCCATGAAATCGATACCCCAAGTATCAAAAATTTCAATGAAAAGTATGGGCACCTGTGGCAGTTGATCCCTTCGGGATAAATTGCCTATCCTCTGACATTTATCACATGTCTTACAAAACACATAGGCATCCTTAAACAATGAAGGCCAATAAAATCCACTTTCTAAAACCTTATGAGCAGTTCTCGTGGGTCCAAAATGACCTCCACAGGCAAAAGTATGACAAAAAGCTAAAATCGATTGAAATTCCATTTCACTTACACATCTCCTCATCACCTGATCTGCACACCTCTTCCACAGGTACGGGTCATCCCAGATAAAATACTTGGCGTCGCTCTTCAATTTATCCCTCTTCGATTTTGGCCAACCTGCAGGAAAATTACCGGTTACCAAATAATTGACCAGATCAGCATACCAAGGCAATTGAGAATTTAAAGAAAATAAATGCTCTTCAGGGAATGCATCCTTCAATGGTTCACTATCCTCTCCAACGGGGATACGACTCAAATGGTCGGCTACTAAATTCTCTGACCCTTTTTTATCCCTTATCTCCAGGTCAAATTCCTGTAAGAGCAATATCCATCGTATGAGCCTCGGTTTCGCATCTTTCTTGGTCATCAGGTATCTCAATGCTGCATGATCAGAAAATACAATCACTTTAGCACCTAACAAATATGACCTGAATTTTTCTAAAGCAAAAATAACTACAAGAAGCTCCTTCTCAGTGGTGGAGTAATTCAACTGGGCTCCATTCAGGGCGCGGGATGCATAATAGATGACGTGAGCTGCCTTTCCTACTCGCTGCCCCAATACAGCCCCTACAGCATGGTCACTGGCATCGCACATGATCTCAAATGGTAAATTTCAGTCAGGGGGCTGGATGATTGGAGGTGATGTCAACAATTCCTTCAACTTGTCGAAGGCTCTCTCACACTTGTCATCAAACTCGAAAGCTACATCCTTTTGTAGAAGTTGGAACAACGGGGCTCCAATTTTTGAAAAATCCTTGATGAACCTTCGGTAAAAACCTGCATGTCCAAGAAAAGAACGCACCTCCCGCACATTTGCGGGGTAAGGTAATGCCGATATAATGTCTATTTTAGCCTTGTCAACCTCGATGCCCTTAGACGATACAACATGACCTAAGACTATCCCGTGGTCAACCATAAAATGACATTTTTTCCAATTAAGCACAAGATTAGTCTCTATACACCTTATCAGCATCAATTTCAGGTTATCTAGACACGTATCAAAACTATCACCATACACACTGAAATCATCCATAAAAACTTCAATAATTTTCTCCACATATTCTGAAAAAATACTTACCATACACCTCTGGAACGTTGCAGACGCATTGCACAACCCAAATGGCATTCGTCTATAGGCAAAGGTCCCGAACGGGCACGTGAAGGTTGTCTTCTCTTGATCCTCTGGGGCAATTGCTATCTGAAAGTATCCTGAAAATCCATCCAAAAAATAATAGTAAGCCTTACAAGACAAACGTTCAACCATTTGGTCAATGAAAGGGAGAGGGAAATGGTCCTTTTTGGTGACGGCGTTTAGCCTACGGTAGTCTATACATTGCCTCCATCCAGTGGGCTTGCGCACTGGCACGAGTTCACCCGTTTGGTTAGCTTCTACCGTCACTCCTGCCTTCTTTGGGACTACCTGGACCGGGCTCACCCACGGGCTGTTTGATATTGCAAAAATGAACCCCACATCTAGCAATTTTAAAATCTCTTTCTTTACAACTTCCATCATGAGGGGGTTGAGCCTCCTCTGAGCCTGCCGAACAGGTTTAGCATCCTCTTCCAGTCTAATCCGGTGCATACAGACGGCCGGGCTGATCCCCTTAATGTCTGCGATTGTCCAACCTATCACCTCTTTATGCTCTCTAAGGACCCGGATCAGTTTCTCCTCTTGGGTTTTTGACAATGCTGACGAAATAATCACCGGGAGTGTCTCATTGTCACCCAGATACGCATACTTCAGGTGCTCTGGTAGGGGCTTCAATTCCAAAATAGGTGCTTGTACCACAGATGGCAATACCCTCTGGTGAGGTTCGGGAATAAAAATAGGCAAGACTTCATACCTTTTTGTGGTGGTCGGCAATGAGTGTAATGCACCTACTGTGCATTTTAGATTCTCGCTCCACTCCACCTCAAGAGTTGTCTCCAACTCGAGGTGATTGGTTAAAGCCACCTCCAACTCATCCCTGTCAACAGTTTCAAACACTTCCTGCACTACAGGGTCAATAGTATTCACAGAGAAAACTGAGCTAAAGTTGGAGTTTGAGGGATATTTCATGGTATCGAAGATATTAAAAACACAATTTTCCCATCAAACTCCATGGATAAGGTACCCTTATTAACATCAATTTTTGTTTGTGCTGTACTCATAAAGGGTCTACCTAACAACAAAGGTGAGGGATCGGGGGAGTGATCATCATCCATATCAAATACATAAAAATCAGCTGGAAACACCAAATCATTAACTTTCACCAACACATCTTCAACTAACCCATCAGTATATGCATTAGTTCGGTCAGCTAATTGAATGATTATTCCAGTTTCTTTTAATGGACCTAATTTCAGAGAAACATAGATAGATTTAGGCATGACATTAATTGATGCTCCCAAATCCAACATGGCCCTTCTAATCACAGTATTACCTATCCTACAGGAGATAGTAAACATACTTGGGTCCCCGCACTTGGGTGGAAGCTTCCTCTGCAGGACCGCTGACACATTCTCCCCAACAATGATTCTTTCATCTCCCCTCAATCGCATTCGGTTGACACACAAGTCCCTTAGGAACTTGGCATATTTTGGTACTTGTTTGATGGCGTCTAAGAGGGGAATATTTATCTCTACCTTGCGAAACACCTCCAAAATCTCCTTCTCCTTATCCTGCTTCTTCGATTTTTCCAACTTGCTAGGGAAAGGAGGTGGGTTAGTTTTAACTGTAATTATTGGGTCTGGAAGTACCTTTGGATCTGCACCATTGCTGTCCTCCCTCTCAAGCTCATTTTCAATCTTTTCCTCATCCTTATCCTTAGGGATCACAAGTTCAGGCCCCTGAATTTCCTTCCCGCTTCTTAGGATCATTGCGCTCACGTTCTTCGGATTTAATTCAGGCTGAGACGGTAATTTACCTTGGTTCTGGGAATCCAAACGGTTAATTGTTGTAGCCATTTGACTTATCTGATTCCTTATGTCCTGCATTTCGGAGTCCGTCCTTTGCTGATTTTGCATAATGGTTGCCTCCGTCCTTTGTTGATTTTGCGTCATGGTTGCCATCATTTGTTTCATCATCTCCTCCAAAGATGGGTCAGAGCTCTGGGACGGAGGTGGTCGAGGTTGGTATTGCTGCTGGTACCCTGGTTGCTTATTTGGCATGAAATTAGACTGCCTGTTCGGTGCAAAGTTGGGCTGCCTATTTCCTCCATAACTGAGGTTGGGATGATCTCTCCACCCGGGGTTGTAGGTACTTGAGTAAGGGTCCTACTGCTTTCTTGGCGCGGGCGCGTGGCCAGCCATGTTCACCTGTTCTGCAGTTTCTTCCTGAAGCATTGGGCACATGTCTGCAGAGTGACCCATACCAGTGCAAATCCTGCACACCCTGGCCTGAGATGCATTCCCTACAGCCAGTTGCCTAACAAACGAGGTCAACTCAGTTAGCTGCTGCTGCATAGAGGATGTCTCTATCTCATTCACCTTACGTATTGGGACGTCCTCTCTCGAACTGAATTGTTGTGAATTCTCTGCCATCCCCTCTATTAACTCCCGTGCTTCCTGAGGGGTTTTGTTCACCAGTGCCCCTCCACTTGCAGCATCAATTATGCTCCTGTCTCTGAAAAGGAGCCCCTCATAAAAATATTGTATGAGCAACTACTCACTTATTTGGTGTTGGGGGCACATTCTGCACAACTTCTTGAACTGTTCCCAATACTCATAGAGTGACTCCCCTGGGTGCTGCTTGATCCCGCAAATTTCTTTCCTTAGACTCGCAGCCCTGGATGCAGGAAAATATTTATCTAAAAATTTTTTCTTCAATTGGTCCCACGTGGTGATGCTACCTGGTGGTAGGTAGTATAACCAGTCCTTTGCAGAGTCTTTCAAGGAAAAGGGAAATGCCCTCATTTTTATCTGCTCTTCTGTAATGCCCGGGGGCTTCATACTATTGCACACGACATCAAATTCCTGCAGATGCTTATACGGCTCCTCACCTGGTAAACCATGAAAAGAGGGTAAAAGAGAAATCAGACCAGATTTTAACTCGAATGAAGTGTTTTTACTCAAACTCGGGAAAGTAATGCACAAAGGCTGCTGATTTAAATTAGGAGCAGCCAACTCCCTTAGTGTTCGTGCATTAGCCATGGGGATTTCTTCTTGCTCCGAGTCACTCGAAGTGTCACCAAATGAATCTGTTGGTTCAACTCCTGACTCAGGTCTCTGAGATGTAGCACTGGAGTGCTCCTCTCTGAGCTGTCTGGTTTCCTTTCTCGTTCTACGCGCGGTCTTCTCTACTTCAGGGTCAAAAATCAAATCACCTGTACGAGAAGACCGAGGCATACACTAGAAAAATACCAGAAAATTAGAACAAAAATGAATTTAAAAAGAAACAAATAATAACGCCAGTCCCCGGCAACGGCGCCAAAAATTGACAGGTGCCGAACCTGTGCAATAATAAAAATAGAACCTAACCACCACTAAAAGCAATTAATAATTAATCCTAGGTACTGGAGCAGGGACTCTAGGTGTGCAATGGGTTACTTGATTCAACCTGTTCCCGAAGAGTTTGCTTAATCCGATATACCAGAATTAATTAGTTGGCAAAAATTACTAAATAGTAGACAGTGGCAAGTAGGGTCGTCTCCTTAGGGACTGGGGATATTTGTCTCTTTTAAATTCCAATTGGTAATGGGGGATTTCACCAGAATGAAGCTAAAAGCAATTAAACAATTCAACTAAAACTAAATAATTAACTAGCACGAATATAGCAGGAATTAAATCAAGAATAAATAAATCCTAGCCAAGGATGCAACTACTCAGGCACAGTCCATTTATCCGATCATTGATGCAAGAGAGGTTCACTTAATTTATTAATAGACTAGTTATAGCCATCGAGGAGCTCTAATGACCAATTTTTCCTTAATTTATAGATGACCAAGGTACGACCATTAATTACCCCTAACCAGAAAAGTATTCCTAGGTACGACCGTAGGAATTAATTTTCCAATTGCATTAATAGGCAGAAAAACCTAGCCCTAATCAATAACACGCTACGAGAGTTATTTAAATTAGATTGCACGTTCCCCTAATATGTAAACACACCAGTTGCCACTAATATTAATCAATCAAACAATTACGGATTTAATTGACTAAATTGGCACGAGATTAATAAATCACATTGAATATCGGGCCCTTGAGATCCAAGTAATAAAATAATCCCATGAAAATACAAGCAGGCAACGTGCAAATATTAATAAATTAAGGAGCGCGTGAAAACTAATTAGATCTCACAGATTTTTGGGACTGCGCCGTCGAGTTGACCCTTGACTAGATGGAAGACTTAGCCATGCCGCATAATTAAATCACCACACGAATAGACGAATTAGCTTTTCATTTTGATAGAATTCAAGACTAATTGCATGATTTGTGTGAAGTTATTTTATATAATAATATCCAAATTAACCCTAACATGAATGGTGAGAATGTTGAATATGAAAGTGGATTGTATTTTGATGAAAATGAAGGATTTAATTTATATTTCAATGAGGAAATGTCCATTTTACATGATCATGTCTTTGGAACTAACTTTGAATTTCAAGAGATGAACATTAATGATTCATATTTAACATCTCTTAAGAAATGTTTTGAAAGTGTAAGTTCCAAAAATGTTGCTTCCTCCGTTTCATTGAAAGTATCATACTTTCTATTTTCGGATGTTTCAAAACTTTTGTCATGTTGAAAAAGTCAAATCACCTTTTAGTCTCTCTTTCCAATATAATCATTCTTTTTAATCATATGCATGTTACTATTTAAATTTAAATTTTGAATTTTTGGGAGTAAATTTGGAAAGAGAAATACAAACATCAGAATCAAACCACTATTTTTAAAAAGTTGGATTCTCCAAACTTAACTAAATAAATGGGATGGTCCCTAAGAAGGTTTTATGAAAAAAAGTGTGCCAAGAGTCACTAAACTTTTATAAAAGCCTTACTTATCACACCATACTATTTTACATCTACGAAATAATGAGATCGCTTCGCAAGTTTAGTCCGTTGCTCGCGTGTCATGAACTCTATCTATTTTAGAATTACCCAATCAATCACTTTTAGTATTATGAGCATGTAAAAGACTATCTAAAAGAAAAAATAAAGCAAATCTTCTATTGCTAGAAACAAGAAAAAGATGATAAACAAACCAGAAAAATCTTGTTTAATTTTGCCAACGAATCATGTGAGTCAGATTACCTTAGACAAAACTGAATGTAAGCAAATGTTTAAGCATAAATGTTTTGGATTAATTTTATATACACTCACAGTGTATATACTATCACTATAAGATATATGATACATGTGTAAAATTTGAATTTGAAATTCAAAATTTATTCATGTGTCATCCATCCAACCGTGATAGTGTATACACTGATAGTGTATATAAAATTTACTCAAATATTCTCCCTCCTCATCTTAACTTACTTTTCCTTCACAAATTTCTCTTTCCAATTGACAGGTTGTCGAAACCTGTGCAATAATAAAAATAAACCTAATTGCCAATTAAAATAGCCAAAACCCGATTCCAAGTACTGGAGCAGGGACTCTAGGTGTGCAATGGGTTACTTGATTCACCCTGTTCCCGAAGAGTTTGCTTGATCCGATATACCCGAATGGGAAGACTTTTACACAAATAATTATTAATTTGTAAACAGGGCAAGTAGGGTCGTATCCTCAAGGATTGGGTGTATTTGTCTCATTTAAAGTAACACAGGGGGTGTTTTTGTATAGAGGATGACAATTAAAACAATTCAACTAAAAATAAAGTAGCCAACTAAAAATTAAATGACAATTCACTAAAATCAAGGCAATAATAATTAAATGTCTAGCCAAGAAATAATTTTAGCAATGGTTCACCTAATTGATCATCGATGCACAAGCAATTCCAATTATTTATTAATAAATAGGTTATAACTGCCAAACAAGCGATGACAGTCAACCCCTCCTTACTGTGTCGGTGATTAAGGTACACCCGTTAATCACTGCTCTAATTGAGAAATAATCTTAGGTACGCCCATAAGATTTAATTCTCCAATTGCCTTACGTATTAGAGGAGCCCTATTCTAACCAAATAACGCACTACCAGGGTTATTTCGGATTAGCCCGCGTATTCCTCTGATACAAAGCTAATCATGCTAGTTGTCACTATTTCAAGGCAATTAAACAATTACGGATTTAATGCCGTAATTGACAATAGATTACCAAATTAACTAATTATCCGGATCCAAGACAATCAATTAATTAAAGAATCATAAGTACTATGATCAAGAACTATGTGAATACCAATAAATAAATAAAAATATAAAATTAAATCGATCTCACAATTTTTAGGCGAATCAAAGCCCCCATTGTTCCTTGACTAGAGTGAAGAAATTAGTTCATATTCGATACGAAAAACCCACACAAAATTAAAACAGTAGTCGTGGCCATTGTCTGCGTTTGGGAAATTTCAATTCGTTCCAATCACAAAGAAAAGCGAGCTACAAAGAGTTGCCAATTGGGTTTTTAATTGTCTCTAACATGCGAGTCTAACATGCGAGGGAGGAAAACCACAAAAGGACGGAAAACAAGAGTCAAAAGAAAAGACTACAGAGCATGCTTCAAGTCTTCAAGTGCTCTTGACATACGCCAGCTGAAGCTACCCCATAAGCTAACAAAGGAAAAGTCAACAAAAGCCATCCTTCCAAGTGGTGCTCATTCTCTGCTATTTCCAATTTCTATCTAAGTCCTACTCTAATGCTTATCTGATTGCTATCTAAGAATTGCTCCTTTTCTTCTATGCGGCGGCCCCCCCGTGCTCTCCCCCTTGTCCTCGGTTCAGCAGTTGCCAACGAAAAAGGAAAAAAGTTTTTTTTTTCAAAAATGTCCCTAGGGTAAGCTCTGTTACTTGGACTCTTTTCCTGTCAAATTAACACTTATTATTAGATTTTCGTTCTACTCTCTGAAATAAATGTAAAATACCAAAAGTGAGTAGAATCTAACAATTAATCCACATCGGATCAGGTAATAGAAAAAATTAATAATAAAATAAATAATAAAATTACAACCTATCACCAATTGCTCCAACAATTTCCACAACAAGAAGAGAAAGAAAACATCGAGTACGTACCTTTGCATCCAATAGGCAGATAAGGATTTCCTTGGTAAACAGGCAAGCAAGTACTTAGATATCCAAACGCACTGGTTGAATTGATACACTTGCTATTGCGGCCGCATGTATAATCTCTCCTTTTCACAGCTTCATGGCAGCTGATATTTCCAATTCCCCAGGCAAGGACAACTGAAACAGCATAATCGTCATAGTCATCGTCATCGCACCTGGAAACGCTAAACCTAGCAAAGTCATTGAAATCCTTTTCTACAACCATGGAGATGCTACAGTTATCAGATGCCCAAGATCTTTCTGCAGTATTCATGGTAAGCACCATATGTGAGACATCAACGAAATCTATTGTTATTGTGGTCTGGCAGCATCCATTTCCAGAGCAAGATGAAGCAGAAGAATTTGTTCGACCAATTCGTGAACTCGAGCACAGAGATGGACATCGGCTGATGACCTCATTTGTGCCTAAATGAGTTAATAAGCATAGATATCACATCCTATGGATATGAACTTATTTTTGGTTTGCGAAAAGCTAAAATAGTCACCTACATCTATCCCTACAAGGGTGGTTTGGTGTAAACTTCCGCTAGATTATCTATTGTAGAATGTAGAAAAGGGCAACTGCAGATCCTTGGACTCTAATATATCCATGTGAAATCTCGTACACCTCCAAACAAAACCATGTAAAAATAACATTATAAAATGAAGTGTTACATCTAAGCTCAAAGAATTCTTTAAGGAAAAAGTTTTTTCCTATGCCAAATGGATAAGGAACTGTCAGATTACCACATTTCTCAGGACAACCAGGCTTAGCTACAGAGGCAGCAGATTCATATACTAGCGAAAATAGTGAGATCATGGATAGAAGATGTAGAAATGAGTAGATTATCCTTTCCATATTCTGCTAGCCAATTAGACATGTTTGAGCTGCAGCTGAGCAGCATGGTCAAATCAAGATTGAACCCTGCAAATTGCCTTTATTAAAGTAATCAAATGATTGTTGTTTATGCAAGTCTGTGTCAAAAGAAAAGGCTTGTTGATTAGTCGTTGCAGCAGACGGCCCGAGGGTTGTGGGACAAAAATGATTGATAATAAAATAGTATAGATTGCTAGGTCTGATCTCATAAAATTGATAAAATTGTTATTAATAACCAGGCTTAGCTATAGAAGTAGCAGTTTCATATACTAGGAAAAATGGTGAGATCCTGGATATAAGATGCAAAGACGAGTAGATTATCCGTTCTTCATACAACTTAGCCATGTTTGAACTACAACTGAGCAGCATGATTAAATCAAAACAGATAGAACCGTGGAAATTGTCCTTATTAAAGTAGTGAAATTATTGTTGTTCATGGAAGTCCACGTCCAAAACAAATGGCTTGTTGATTTTTTTTTTGTTTTTTTTTTTTTGCAGCAGGAAGCCCGAGGATTGTTGGACAGAAACGATTGATAATGACCAAGCACACATGCAGACCTTCTCCATTAGACGGAAAAAGCCTGTTACGTACCTTTGCATCCATTACCGGTATTCCCCACTATATTTGTGACTTTGCTGCAGTAATACTAAATCATAATTGGCACCATTTTTGGGTTAGTTACTAAATTATACTCCCTCCATCCCATTGAAAGTGTCATACTTTCCTTTTTGGTCTGTCCCAAAATTAATGTCACTTCTCATAATTGGCAATAAAATACTTTCCCCCATTTCCATCTCATGCCCTTAAATATACCAGATATACCAGATTCTTTTAACCTTTTGATGGGCCCCAAAAAATTACAAGAATTGCACTTGATACGCGTGAGTTCCACAACAAATGCAAACAATGGTCGTGCAAGGAACTTTCCCAAAAAATGGCTGAGACTTTCTTGAGGCACGGATCCCACAGGTCTTGTCACCAGTCCAATATCTTTCTGCTAGTCAATAAGTGAGTACTCCATAGAAACCGAACAGGGGTATTGCTGGAAGTTACACCAAAATCATTTGAAATCTTGACACTGTTGAAAATAAGCACAACACCCGAAGTGCGACAATTATTTCGGGACGGAGGGAGTATCACTTTTAAAAAAAGAAATAAATAATTTGTCATGTGACTATTTCACAACAATTCCATTTCTATCAAGTAGAAAGTCCAATTAGTGACCCTAATGTGTGTGTATATATATATATATATTTGTGTGTGTGTGTTCAGCATAGGCCAAAATCTTTGGTTGTACTTATTGGCCACTAATTGTTCTTCGACTTGCGATCACGGATCACCCATCAGACTTGCAAAACTCTTAACTTTTGGCCCTTCAAGTTTTAGAGTTAAATCCTTTCTTTCTTTCCTCTTGTATCAGTTCAAACTCACAAAACTCTTGACTTTTGGACCTTCAAGTTTCATAGTTAAATCCTTCCTTTCCACTCTATCAATTCGTGGGACCTTTATGTCTTTCCATAAAAGAATAACCGAAACAACACCAAAGAACCATATTCTTTTCCCCTCTTCCATCGGATACAGTGTAATTCATTTTGTAATTGTCCTGATTGAATAAACCTGTAAGTACCGAAACTTTGATACTGAGAGAAGTTTCATCACTAAAATCAATAGTATAGAGAAAGACAAATTTGAAAAGAGATCAGCTCTCAATTTTTATTGATTTGCTTAATGAATAAAACCAGAAATTAACCACAATTGAGGATGCAATACATCCAAGAGTTTTGAGTTTAAAGATGGAAAGGGAAAATAAATAAGTTAGGAGGGTAAAGTAAGATTTGAGCTGGTAAAGATATCATATACAGGGGTTACATGCATCACATATATCAATTTTCCTCTAGCTCTTATTGTTCATTGTTCTATTTTAAATAGGCTTAATTTCATGTTACTCCCCATAATAGTTAGCAGTTGATAGGGAATCGCCCTATGTTAATGAATCTTACAAATAACCCCTTATAACTAGCAATTAGATATAGGTTTGGCTATCAAAAGACAATCATGCTCTTGTTGAAGAATATTGTCACATGATCCTTTGGTTTTTATTTTTGTTTCATTATTATGTTAATATTTCTTTTTTCCTCTTCTTCTAGTCCCATTATAATGTGCATATTTTGGCAATTATGTGAACCATAATTTCCTTTTTTGCACACTTAAATATTTATGTTAGTATTTTCTTATAAAAATGTATTTAAGTATCTTGAAGTATCATAAGAAGTTAAAGGTATTTATTTAATAAAAATAAGTTAAGCCACCATAATTTATTAAAAGTATTTTTTGAGCATGGGATGAATTGTTACATGCCCCTAATTACAGAGTTGCAATCTAAAATTAAGCTACCATAATATTCTCGGTTTTTGTTTCTTTTCATTTTGGCGATATCTATGCGATAAACAATACCTTAGAACATTTAAAAATTGAACACATAAATCATCCAAGGCTAAACTAGTTCAGAAATAGAAATTAATTATAAAGCACAGTAGAGAATTAATATCTATTTATCTATATTAGATTATTACACTTAACAAAGTCCCAAAACTACCGAAAACAGAAGAATTCATACACGAGTGATCAATGATTCAACAATTTACAGAAAACATGCAACAACAAAATCACAGGAGTTCTTATATTCTACAGCAAACATCCAGCGGTGCATCTTCCTCTGGGCCATCTTCAGTAGTTAAATCAACATTGCAACTATGAGCTCTTTCACTCACTGAGCAGTAACCACTCTGAAAACTTTCTTTACCTATTGACCCTTCTCTTATCCTCCTCAGTTGATCAAGTTCAGCAGCTGTCTCCTTCATGCTTGGCCTTTTTCTAGCATTGAGTTTTAGGCATCTTTTTGCAAGCTTAGCAACCGCAAGAATTTCCTCATCTAAGCCTTCATCTGCAACTATCCTGTCCAAAATTTCAAACAATCGGTTCTCCTCTATTGCTGAACGAAACTTAATAACCAAACCTTCGTCAGATTTATCAGAAGACACAGCCTTTTGGCCTGTTACAAGTTCGGCAAGAACTACACCAAAGGCATAAACATCACTTTTGTCATTGAGTTGCCCGGACTGGAAGTATTCAGGGTCTAGGTAACCAAATGTGCCTCCGACTAGCGTAGTTAAGTGTGTTTTATCAATAGGTACTGACCTTGAAATCCCGAAATCAGTGACAACCATGGTTCAAAGTCACGGTCGCGGTTGTGGTCGCAGCCCAGAACGTTCCACATCGGTCTCGGCATATCGGTCGCGGTCTCGGTGAGACGCAAATTTTAAAGTATTTAATATTCTAAAAATTGTTAATAATATAAAAAAGTATACTAAATAAAAATAATTAAAAAATAGTAAAAGAAACGGCCAAGTCAATCCGTCACGGTGTGACTCGGCTGATTTCTCGTCTTGACTCGGGATAACTCGAAGTGACTCGGTGTGACTCGCCGAGTTAATCCGTCACGGTGACGACTCGGCCGATTTCTCGGCGAGTCAAGTATTTTGGTATCGTTTCGTCACGGTATCGTATCGGTAGGGGCCGAGACGGTGACGACTCGGCCGAGTCGTCTCGGTCTCGGCCGAGACTTCGAACCATGGTGACAACAGCCCTGTAGTTCTCATCCAATAATATGTTGCTTGACTTTATATCCCGGTGGAAAATAGCTGTAGAAGCATATGAGTGCAAATAAGCAAGCGCCCCTGCAACTCCTGTGGCAATACACAAACGATTGTCCCAAGTGATCATCCTACCACTAGGATCATCATGGAGATGGTGCCAAAGGCTGCCATTTGACACATATTCATATACAAGTAATGGAACTTCGGTTTCTAAAAAACAACCTAACAATTTCACTATGTGTCTATGACTTATTTGTGAGAGGATGACGACTTCATTAACAAACTGCGACACCACTTCTTGATCAATGTTGTTTGATTTTTTCACAGCAACAATAGTTCCATCTGATAGCATTCCTTTGTAGACGGTACCAAGTCCACCTTTGCCTAGAATACGGCTTTCATTGAAATTGTCTGTAGCCTTTTCCAGCTCTTGGGTGATGAAAAGCCTTGCTTCTAATACATTTCCTTGACTTGAAGATACCTTTTGTTGTAGCAACAAACCACCGTTTCTTTTGAAGAACCTCTTTTTGGCTCTGTCATCTTCTACTTTCTTCAGGTGACGGTGCGTCCAAATGCAGCCTAATGCCACGATTAGAAAGCCAATTGCAAGTCCAATGCCTGCCAAACAAAGTATATATCTGAGAAAAAAGGTATTGAAGAAAAGTTCTGCCTAAGAGATAGGTTGATAAGGGAGATGTACCTAACGCGATGAATGCAACCAATTTCCGTTTCACTCCATCTGGTAGGCATGCATGTGGTGATGATGGACCAAAATATTTCCCCCTGCGGTAACCTGGTGGACAAGTGCAGTAGTAGCTGCCAGGAGAATTAACGCAGATAGCGTCCTTAGGGCACTTATTCTTTTCAGGAGATTCACACTCATTGATATCTTCAATCAATTTTGGACAGAACCCAAAAAAAAAAAAAAAAAAGAAAAGATTATATATAGTCTCTTATTTATTCCTAATCATATGCAGATTGCGGGAAAAAAATGTATTTTAATGTGCAAGTCAAAATAAATAGTTTGAAGCATAAGAATATGGTTTACACCTCCACTCATTAATTATGTTTCTATGTTAATAATAACGTAGCTTAATCCTTTGATCTTTTGGAACCCTTACTCAACATAGGGTCCAAGAACCTTACATTCGTCTTTTTTTGAGCCGCAAGAATAATTACTTAAACCGTGCCATAAGAGGTCATTCTTGAAAGGGGACGGCCCCTTCGTAGTCAATAGGGCACAGCAGGCCTCGCTAATGAACGAAACCAAAGGCATTTGAGTATGAATGGCA